AACATTGGTAAAAATGTCGAAAATATCCGATTTAGTGGGAATTACACTTAAGGGTTGTTTACAGCCCTTAGACACTCGTCAGACATCTCAGACTATTTTTATTTTTTAAAAAGTCTGGTTTAAAGGCACAGTAGGCATATAAGGATACCGACTGTCATCTTCTTATCGTATTATTGTGGTAAGTTCATCGAGTTTTCATTACTTCGGCAAAGTTTATAAACTAAAACTATACAACTAATGTAATTAGCTGTACTGTGTTCAGAAAGCTGTAAGAGCCTGAGGCCGCCGTTGCCATGAGTATTTAGAAGAAATAAAAAAAAAGTGTTTATTTCAGATCAACTAACAAGCGGTTATTCGTCGAGGTAAGCGACATTTGTTAAAATTTCAAGACAGACGTCAAGAAAAATACATTATATCAGTTAATTAATTACAGTAGTAGGTATACATCTAATTTGTATGTTTCCAACCAATTTGCAAAAGTTTTACACCTACCCACATTTTAATCTTTGTTAAATATTACCAAAACTCGAATTGTTACCAAAACTTTAATTTATAGAATTCAAATTTTGCATTTAAATTTTAGTTAATTAATCATTTAATTTAAATAAACGTCAATAATTGTGATACATTTTAATTCAGCGTATAATTAAAAAATCGATAAAGAAAAGTTTTATTTGTTTTTATAGTAAAGTAATAAAATTTGGAGAAATAATATGTTTTATATATATATGTATAAGCTCATAAATAAGTACTAAATATATAAGCTTGGTAAATTCGGCTTTCATCGAAGTCCTTAACATGTATTTAAAAAGAAAATCAAATAGATCCATTTTTCAAATGGTGAATAAGTATATTCGCATTTTATTGCAATTTGATTAGTTTTTTTTGGTTCAACTCAAAAACTAAGCGCGATCAGAAAAAATCTTTGTACTCAGCATAAATACACAAATTTAAAAAAATGCTTAGGCCCTAAGCCAGATTTGTTTGACCTCTAATAAAACTCAAAACTTCAATAAAATATTTAAATGTGTCATTATTTCTATTAAATAAAAATCACTTTTACATTTATCCCGTTTGTTTAAAATTACTCCAACTGGACCTTATTTAATTTCCGAAGACTTAGTTACTGATAGTTAATTAAGTATAATAAAATTAGTGTATTTTTTTTTGGTATAGTTTTGTAACAATGTTTGCATTTAATTATTATATTAGGTATATTATTCCTTAGTGGTATTATATTATTAGTGAACAATTCAATATAATATTTATGAGATCTCTGCATTCACATTTCACAACAGTCAACACCATATACAAAACAAGGACACAGACAATAAGTGCAACTAATTCTGGTGTACCTATAGGTATTGAAAAACGTTATTTGGCAGGGATGCTATTTAGAAGGGAGGGGATGTCGGTTTGTCTTTTGGCACCCCCAATATTTTTCAGCACTATATTGTTGGCATTTGGCCAACACATGTTGTATAGATTTGTCTGGGTATGCTAGATTTGGCCCTTATAGATAGCGTGGCAGTGAAAAAAAAAAGTTTAAAAATGTACACTCCTATTGAATACCAAAACGACACCCTTGAATAAATGAATGATTGGATTTATACATATTTTACCATACCGTACATAGGTGTGTCATATATCACATAGACCAATGTGTATAAGTAATACCTAAAAAATTATTTAAAGTACTAAATAAAAAAACTGCTTAAAAAAATACATTTAAAAACGAATCAATTATTATACTGGATGCGCTTTATAAAACAAATTTAAAATAGTTTATATTTGCGAACTAATATTTCTGTTATGTGTTTAAAAATTGCCCATATCTACTATATAAGTTTGTTTTTATATGTAACAGCACATGAATTGTGTTTGTAACCTTTATGATATTTTTCATTTGTTTGAAAAGGGCAAGCTTAATATCCAGTTGATTTTCAAAGAAATTAAGGATAGAACTCGTCTAACTTATATAGTTTTATATTTTACCAGGTAAAAAGCACTCCTTTGTACGATGTACTTTTTAGTTTCGATGAGATGCTGATGAGGTATTGGTTTTGATTAAAAAAGTTACGCTTGTAGTAATTAACTTATGAGTCACGCCTTTAAACTATATAATATGAAAACTTCAACGCTTATTTGCAAAAAGTTGTTAACAGTGGAGTTGGCTCTTTTAGGCTGAAAAACAAACAAAATTTCGTCGTTATTTATTTTGTGAACATGGTCCAACTTTCAACAAAACTATGCTAACATACTCAGATCCAAATCACAGTTTACTTTTAGTTGCTCATCATAAAGTTTCTGACTATAGAATATTTGTTAATACGAAATTAAGTTTAATACGAGTTTAATAAAAATACAATTTTATACTTTGAAATAGGATTTTCAAGATTATTTTTAAGTTTCGAATGTAATGCCACTAATATAAATTTAAAAATATTCCCTTGATGTTCTTTTAAGTATAAAGCTTAATCCAGGAATTTCCCCATAACACTTAAAAAATATGTTAATTATTTGATTTTAATTTTTAATTTTTAATGAATTTGCTCGATCAAATGCGAATAATAATATTACATAAAAGTCATCATTAACAATAAATTATCGTTTTTTTTCTGTCAGTAAATCGTTCGTTCCTTGAATGTATTTTAATACTTATATTACAACAATATTAAATTACTTACTTCTAAAACAGTAAAAGTGGTGTTTTAAAAGTATATTATAGTTTTAATTAATAAAAACAAAGTTTATGTGATATTGTCAGACTTAAATTCCGAAAACTTCACTCAAACAAGAGAAACGAACAAAAATATACCTATATCCATTTTGGGTAAAAGGATACCGCTCTTTACCGTTTTATCTCAAAAATAAATTTGAAACTTTTCAGACTAGTTTTTACATAAATCTAGCGTGCTAAATCAAAAATGGCGATACAAGTGTCAAGGGTGACTTTCACGACATTTTTATAGAATGGATGAACTTTTTTTACTTTTAGTAGCAGTACCTATATGTATTTTTACACTCGTTAACCTTTGGTAAATGATTTCGGATCTGTAGATTATTTAATTTGATTCTTTGCCAAAATAATAATACCAATAATATGCCAAAATTCCAAGAAGAACCGATTTTGTATTATTATTTATATTAATACTACCAAAACCAGTAGTGTACATTACACTTAGAAGGAGAAGTTTGAATATCTTTTGTATAAACATCAGGATTTTCCCTCACCCTTGCTCATATGCATATGTATACTAGCAACAACCCTCTTCTGTTTAAACGTATAGCACATTACTCAATATACATATATGATTTTAAAATGTATAGCATCACTTTAGCTAAAAAGTTAATGGGGAAAATTAATAGCTAATCACATAATAATACACATACATAAAATTACAATACACATAAACACATTTTAAAAAGTTTTCAGTTTTTTCCAACTCGTCTAACATAATTTTTTAGTTTCTTTCAACCGTGGTTTGAATAGAATAAATTTTACCAAGAACCACAACACATAACTGTAGAAACTTTTAAATGTTTTTTTTTACTATTTTCTAAACAAAATTATGTACTATCTAGCCTTCCGGTGTACCTACCGCATTCTTGTCCAATGCAATTTTTGCGATTATTTTGCTTTCTTTTGTGACACATTGTACATGCTCAAACATTTTTTAAGCCAGTTTTTCATGTACTTTAAACGGGTTGTGCGTCGTTAGTTTTTCTTATGTTTATGTAAACTTTTGTCTATTGTAATACAAGTACATTCGAGAGGAAGTAACGTGAAAAATAGTTTTCTCCTTCCTTGTTGTAAAAAAAAAAAAAAAAAAGTATAAAGAAGTACATATTCTAATTTGTATGACAACTAAGCGTGAAGGTTTCGAATTTGGGTGGCTTCCAATTTTTTTTTTGTCGGTATATACACGGAAGGGTTGGAATCATATCATAATTTTTAAGTTTAATATTTTCCAACTACAGAACGGCATCGAAGCGTTTTTTTTTTGTGTTTGAAGTGGTTTTATCACTTATAACTATAGAAACCCTTAAAGACCTGTCACCACCCCGTCTCCGCCGTGCTGTCCTTTTTTTTTTTGTTAAATTTCATTTCGTCGCACAAAAAAAAATTAATAATAAATTTAACGGTTCGTTAAAGTTTAACGGACCAATCATGGGTGTTTGGTTTTTTTAAGGACCACCAAACAATGATGATAATTTTTATTATTATATTGAAAAGATCCGTTTCTCTTTAGCCGTCGTTTATATGCGACCCGGCGCGTGTAATATTATTTATTTATTCATTTTTTTCTCTCCATTTTTGTACTATTATCCTTATTATTATTATTATTACTATTTGTCAAGGACGTTATCGCGTTTGTTCACACGTCTCTCCCGTGCAGTAGAAAAGGGATGAAGGGGTGGTGTAGATTTCTACACACACAATAATAATATAAGCTGCTCTTATTGTGATGCTGCCGCCGTTTGCACGCCGTGACTGCAGATGTGTTTGCGCACACCGTTATGACACGCACATAATATAATATTAAAGTAAACGTGAGCGTAGGTTATGGGGTTGTATAAATTAGGGCGCATCATTATTCGGATGTGTCTTTTTTTTCACCTTCAAACGTACACACAAAATAAAAAAAAACTACATATGTCTAAAAACGCCTACAGGAGTTGTCAGCATAGACTAGGTGTCTGCTTCCTTTAGAGTCCTAGTCGAATCTGATGTCCGAACCATATTGTTCGTGGCCGAAAATAAAAACTACAAAATGTAATCCGTAAAAAAAACCCCGTAAAGAAACGTTTGTTAAGAGTATGTGTAATTTTTGAAAATTCTCGCGTCTAGACTATCGGCGGCCGTTTGACAATCATCATCGGTGCCGGGACGTGGAAGGGGGTTGCTATGGATACGCCGGCGGGAGCGTGCGAAGGGCGTTAAAAAAAAAATAACCAAGCAAAAAGGAAACTGTCAGTCGCACGCGGCTATACACACCAAGCGATACCGCAGGGTACTACTAAACTGTCTCTATACGCGCCGCCACCAGCAGTACTGGCCGTGCCGTGCGCTCACAGTGGTCCGGCGCGCTGCTCGACAGACAAACTATCTGTACGCCGCTTTTTATCTCTCGGCCGCCGTCTCTCTGTCGCTTCTTCTTCTGCTACTTTTGAAATTTTTTTTTTTAAATAATAATTTTTGAGTTTTTTCCCGCCCTCCCCTCTCGGATTTACGTTATTAAACCCGTCGGATCTACCGCGTTTACACCCGTCCGTTGGTCGGTTTGAAAAAAAAAAAATCCAATTATTACTGATAACGACGACGGCGTTGTACAACAACAGAACGATCGCGTTCAACGAGGACAATTATTTATTTTGTATATTTTGAAAACTCTCCCCTCCCCCCCAAAAAAAAAACCAACACCGCGAATCGGATACGAACAGCAGTACAACAACGTCTTGGACGATTCACGCGACGTCTTCATGTCGACTCGACCATGTGGCGCGTCCACGTTTCTTCAACAATCATCAAAAGTCAAAGGTATGGTGGAACTATTTTTCATTACTTTATGTGCATGTAGAATACATCTGTTGATAGTTGTACCTACTATTCGTGTCTCCAAAAACAAAATCGGTTTGCATATCCATTGTACAGCTGTTGTGGCGAACAATATTTATCACTATATTATTAATTGCTAGGTTTTTTTTTATTCGCCATAATAATCATATCAAGCGATTGTGGTAATAGTGTTTTGGGAAAACGCATGGGGACCGACCGGCACATGCCGTCGAAAAGTCAAAACGGATAATAGAACACTAGACCAAAAATAAAACCCAGAAATAATCAATAGACGGACGACGCTGTTCGTTTGTATCTCCTAGACAATAATTGCTATACAAAGCCTCTCGGATTTGATTTGATTGACGCACAAGAGTCTGCGTGACAAGTCGGATTACCGGCCTTTTTTTTTTTAATTTACAGTCTTGAAAAAAGACCTTTCTTATTTTTGCTCACTTCAAGTCAAGACGACAGTGTTTGCTTCTGTGTGTGTGTGTGTGTTGTTTTTACATTTGCTTTCGTCGGATGCTTGAAAAAAAAAAGGGTTTAGAAAAATATATTCCTACCCATATTATACCGTCAGTGTGATAATATGCAAAATCTCTGAGTCTCCAGCATTATCTCCTTAATCCTAGATTAGTCGAAACGCCGGAACGATCACGTATTCTATGTATTTTTTTGTATGTAACGCTTGCACATGAAACGTGATTATGTTAATAATACTAATGGAATGCATATATTATTGTACCTAGAGTAAGCTCAGCACATCAATTATAACAATACAATGGTACTGGCCATTTAGAGAGCGGATTTTTAGGTGGTTGTGAAAACGTTAAAACACAAACGTCAGTAAATAAAATAATATGGACATTAAAAAAACATACTCTTAATAATGTTTTATAAATAAGCAAGTAGAACAAATCTTGTCCTAAATAACCCTTAAAATATCGACGATGTTCATCTATTCTATGGATTTAACGAACAAACCTTCCCAGTATCGCATTGAAGCCAAGTTATTAGTTTTGCAACAACAACAAAAAAACAACTCAAGAATACAGCGAAAAAATCCAATCAGTTTTCATATTTGTTTATCTTATTAGTTATTGGTCAAAGAGAAGTTTCTTAAGTATAGATGGTTTTAAATTTTTAAATAATTTTAATAAAAATTATGGGGAAAAGTGCCTTATTTTTTATTCATACGATAGTACAGTTTTTTTCTCTTCAAAACAAGTACTTGTGTTTGATTTTCTCTACAACTCAATTTTAATTAGTTTTTAAATAATTAATAAAAATTTAATATCGGGGTACATTTTTTCACTCGGAACTTTTTTAATAATACGTTTTGAATAATATGTTCTTTATAAAAAAAAAGTCTTGCTTAAATGAATATTTATTTACCGGTGTATTTAATAATCTGAAATCCGCCTACAATTTTTACTCTCGTCGAGCTGCATGCTTACAGCAAAATGCTTCCTAAAAATCCGCTCGTTTGTTGCTTTTTATGTGTATTTGTTTTAAAAACAAACTATATATTTTTACGGCTTAGCAAACAATATTTTCGATTAATTTATTGTTATCACTTTGTTCCCTTTTTCCCAAGAGTAAAAGCAGAGTGTATAAATTCAATTTTTTATTAACTAAAGAGAAAACAAATTAAAAGACGATGTTAACAACTTTTAAGACATACAATTACAGTGCTAATTGAATCATGAAAAATCTACTTTTTTAGAAGCTTATTACCGTTCATTCTGATACGGGTTTTTGTTTTAAAGTATAAAAATAATTCACTGACGGTAAGACCTAACAACAAAAATTATATGGTCAATGGTATTAACATTTTAGACAGACAAACTAAATGTCAACACAATTTTTCAGACTGTCTGTTTTATTATTCAAAAACTTTTACAATTCAATTGTGAATCGTTAAATGTTTCTATTTTTGTAACTGAAACATTTTCGATAGAAGTCGTTGGTTGTCATCATTTCGCTTATAACACCGGGAGTTCTGTAGTATTTTCCCTAAATTTTCTTACACAGGAGTCATAGGAATTATACCAGAATTGCCTAGGATTTCTGTTTTGGTATTTTAAACTAGGAAGTAGGAGTCCTCGAGTTGTCATTAAGAACCGCAACGGGAGTCCATGAGATACGCAAATCGGAGAAGAAAAATAACCTAAAGGTACCTGCACAATGTTCATCTATAAGATTTATGGATCAGAAAACCTGCAGGGCGATCGTTGGACCTCTACAGGGAATCCTTGAGGAATAAGAACTCATAGAGATATCGCTAGGATTCCTACGCTATTATGGATAAGGTTTGACAATGTACATTTAAGCAGTAGTCCAGCTACAATATTTCCTAGGGTCGGTCTTAACTCATTAGTCGCCCGTGCCATCAATTTAAGAGTAAATAATAATCTATTCTGTACTTTTCTTAACGGTAAAATTTCTTTTGCTGACCTTTATAGTTGAATTATTTAATTGTTCTTTACTAATTTGTATACAATATTTGACACATCCTTTAATGGTCGATTTCTTTTATCACAAACTTAACAGAAAAAACGTATTTTATCTTATCCCCTTTTGTTCAAACACCACAGAATTATTGTTAACTTAATAACCATTCTCTCGAAAACCTGAGTAATTTATTCGCCTACGGTATAGAGAGTTGAAAAAATAAATTAAGAAGAAAATGATAAGATACACAAACCTGATTTACACTCCTTTGAAGGGAGTTCCGGATCGATAAACATGAAGGACGATCATTGGGACTGTAAAGAGCATCCTCGAGGAGTTTCCCGAGGAATCCTAAGGGATATCAATTAGATTCTCCGTGCTTTTAGACTTGTCGGCATAGTATAGGCGACCAGAACGTTGTCTTTTGATCGTTCCGGAACATAATATTATATCCGAGAGATACTTTACGGTATAATATTGGCACGGGTGTTGATTGGACAGGAATTTGATTTATCTTTTCTTCCTATATACACATAATATAATGTACCTACTTCAAACGCCTTAGCAAAGGCAACGGGACAACATCAATGGGAAATTGAATAAATCGCCGGACGTTAACTACCGTTTTATCGTTTACGACGACGATTAAATCGTGTAATAACGTGACGGACACTCGTTTTTGTTTTTTTTATGCCATAATAGTTATTTATGCGCTTCCGCACGGGCACGTGACACGCCAAGTGGGTCTGCTGCCTATTGTGTCCCTCGTTCAATTTGTTGTTGGTTCAAGACATGTGTATTTTTTTTTTTTTTAAACTCGGCCAATCAGTCCGATTTTTTTAAGTGTCTTCCGAATGTATTATTATTTTAATCGTATGCGTTTGCGTGCTTTGCTGGCCAGACACCCGGCCCGTATACGACACGGGGCTAAACGACAAGGCGATAATCTACCCCGTGGTTTAACACAACCCTTCTTCGCACACACACACACACAATGCAATAATTTCTAACCGCATACATACTTAAGTGCGGTTTTTCTCTGTTTGTGAGCCACAATCGTTATCGACCGTCGCACGGCAAGTCCAATATACGGTAGTAAATTAACATGTAAACCACCGTAGGCACCTGTCATGGATATATCGACCTGGTTTCAACGTGATCGTTATCTTTACACACGACAAAACGACCGCAAGATAATAATTTACTCACTTACTTACTATAAGGCTCGGCAATTTGCATAATATGACGGTATCGCCGCGTGCGAGGATTCACTTGGTTTTAGTGGGTAAAAAAAAAGAAGCAAAACGGTAGCAGAGATAAGCCCTGGCAAACGGAATGCTATGCTAAACGTATTCACTCGAGTGACGACCCTGACGAACACGCGATGCAGATCCCGGAAACCGTTTACTATTTTAGAAGAGATGAAAAGAGATAGAGTCAGATTTATTAGGAAAAGCTCACGTTTAAGCACAGGTGTAAGGCGATAAAACGCCAGAAAGCAGAGAGCCGTAACCCCGATGGCAAAATAATAGGCCCTTCGCCTCCTTATCTACTGTTTACAGAAGATTTCTAAAACTACCGTGCACGGGACAATCCTTTACTAACACTACATTGCTAAAATTCTGAATTACTAAAACATTTTTATTGCTTTTTTTGTTGCTGTTAAGTATTGCGATATGGGAACAATGACTTGTTCAAAAGTTTAGAAAAACCTGTAAATATTGTCATATTAAAAAAAAAAAATCATCAAATCACTTATAATTATTATTTCAAAACTTTTAAGTTAGGTTACAAAGTTGATAATTTTTTTTTTATTTTACTAACTTAAAAAGCTACGGATTAACGGGTGTTTTTTAGTAACTTTATCATAATTTAAGTATCTTAATTTTTGGATTAACTGAATAATAACTGAAGTTTTACTGGTCAGGCAAATGGTTATAATGAAATAATAATAATATCTTTTTTTGATATTCATGTACCGGGCGTTAAATTATAACTATATAATGGCGGAATTGAGTGTAAAACTCACATTGGGCAAAAATGTCATGCGGGTATTTTAATTAAAACGCATTTCAGTAATCAAAACTGTTGTCGAATTGATTTTGGTTATACACATAAATTTGAAACCGAATGTATATAATTATTTTTGTAAGTTTTCTTTAAAATAACGCCTTACTAAAAAGAAAAACGGCTTTTTAGAGATTACAATTTCGAAAATGAAAAGGCAGGCCGAGGCCATACACTGTTATTTTTTTCCTTTTCCATTCCAACCGACCGTCTATTGTATATAAATAGCGTATACGACTTTATATTTCTAAATATTCGACCCGGGACGGCCATTTAACTATATTATAAAGGAACTCGCCAATACCGAAGAAGCAAAAGCTATAGCAACGTATCATATTATTTTAGCAGTGTACCTCTGACCGCAATAGCTATTGTCTATTTATACCACCACGGTCTAATGTAATAATATCATAGTGAAATATTCTAAACGTAACGGCCAAAATATAAAACTACCCTCT